TCCGTGTTTTGAGAAGATGGGGCTCAATGCCTGGGCCTGAGGGCCCTTTTGCAGTTCACATGCCTCATTTCTTTATGGGGTCCGCTTCTACTCGGGTCCCGGTCCAACGCCCCCCACTTCTTTTTGGGGTCCACTTCCGCCCGAGGACTGGTCCTTCCTTTTTCCAAAAGTCCCGGTTCTAGCAGAGCTAGCTGTAGGTAGTCCGCAGTTTTGCCAAGGTCTGGTCCCCCAAATCTTTTTGCCCCCTAAGAACCCACTTTGCATCCTGGTCGCCCGCCGCCAAAAATGCGACACCTTGACACAAACGCGGTAGCCCACTATACCGCAACCTAAGGGCTGCGAACATCGCAGATAGTGGGCTGAATTCCGCTCGGATTCTTAAGCACTCGTTTTGCCATGCCCCATGCGCATCTCGGGTTGAATCCATTTTTCACCATTCGTTGGATTATCTTTCGTATTTCGTTTGCAGCCTCAGCATGCTCTGAGCACAATATGAGGACAAAAGTTACCTGCCCGATTATAATGGAGAGTGACTGCCTAACTGGTCTGTTTGAGTCGAAACGGATGTACCTATTGACCGACAATCCAAGTTCAACGGCTCTATCGTACTTTGAAGTACGAAACGCACCATTACCCATAACATTCATCTGAAGGTTCAGGAAATTCCCAACGCTTCTTTGTTCATCCAGGTCAATACTCTGCTTCTTAATCTCGATAAATTCCACCGGATAGAGCCGAATGGGGGAGCTATCCTGCGTGGTTTGGTTCTAGGTTAGGAAGTCCCTGATGATCCCGTTGTTAAGGGTATGAAGGTCATCCATATATCGGAATGTGTACTTGAAGATCGAGATCAGATGCTGGTTCCCGGTGTCGATTAGTCGCATCAAACAGGCGAACTCGTATTTAAGAAAATACAGGTTGCACCAAATAGAGGAGCATGGGAGGCCCATGGGAATGTCGTTTCTTTGCCTTCATACCCTTCGTCCAAATTGGATATAGTTTCTTTCGGCCAGCCATTGGTTCATATCCAGGATTTGTTCCATACTGAGGGTCATGGATTCGTTAGCCTCCTTAGTCCATGTGGCGTAGTACTTGTCGTTTCCCTTTTTCCCGATTTTGATAAACGACAGGCCATCAGTCTTGGTTTTCAAAGTGAAGGCTTTCCTGGCTGCAAAAGTTAGTGCAGACCTCGGCCCGTGTTCCGAATCATCCGTGGGGATGGTTTTGAAACAGCGGCTGATGTCTGCTGAGAATACACGATAGAATTGGGTGGGGAGGTTTAGGCAGTATTCGTTAATTGAGTCCACAGGCCACCAGAAGTTCACGTCCAGTCCATGCATTTTCTTCATTATACCAGACTGCACCACACAATACTCTTGTACTGCACAGCTGATGAGCTGCAAGGATACAGAGCAAATCTCAGCAAGGGGGGTGAGCAAGCATTGGGTTGCATTAGTAATCCATCTGAAGTCCTGCTTATGTGCCTTGTAGTTAGCCATTAGGAACGGGATATCCCTCTTTCCCAATGGATAATCCCTTCGATTATCATTCCCGATCAAATCCACCATCTCAGAGTTAGTACAATAAAAGATTCGAAATCGTTTCCTGACTGCCTGTTGAAGGCAAGTTGCCTCATGAAATCCATGCATACAAGGACCGGAGTGTGAGCTGCCTTATCCATACATGTGATGAAGAACCATTCCGTAATATAGTCGATTTCATGAGATATATGTCCCTGCGTGAGATCCAAATCACTCCGGACGTGTTGTCGCGATCTGTACTTCCTGAATGCAGAGTGACACTGCGCCTTAATAGCATTTCTAGCCCTACTGTCCTGCTCACCAATAACATCGAAATCACGCCCAAGGAGCACGATTAATTGCTCCCATCCATCCATTACTTCCCTGGTGGCTTCCTCTACACACAGTCTACTCAATGGGATGTGGTTCAGTCCTATGCCTAGTAGTCGCTGCAGTAGCGGCAGTTGGGAGATTGAGTAATCGGTGGTGATGACGTGTTGTTTCCTAGTAGTGCTAGAATCGGTATGCAACAACTCGGTTCAGGCCAGGCTCCGGAACTGTTCATATCTTTGCGATCCACAGGGGCAAGCTCCCTTGCTGCGCCACCATTCCTCCAAGTAAAAGTCGCGAAAGACATGAGCTGGCTTGTGGAGGATGCGCCCGGTTGGTTCCTTGTACCTCCAGCCGAAGGTAACCGTCTTCATCCATTCCGTAGTATCCGCTGCGATGATCAGGCTTAGGATTCCGGAGAATAGTGCTCTGATTGAGATGGCCTCCATCAGCCGGTTGGCATATCTGACATGCACAAATCGCCTCCCTCCACTTGGTTGCTGCTTGATCTATATTCGCCTCCCGCTTGCCGTGGTGCCAATGCTGCCAGCAAGATCCTGAAACAGACCCCAAAAAAAGGGGGGGGGGAAGGAAAAAAAGGAAAAAAAGAAGAAAAGAACAAGAAAAGAAGAAGGGGGAGGGGAACGGGTAGGGGGGGCGAAAGGCAAGAATGGGGGAGAATGTGGGATATGAGGAGAGTCGGGTAAATAGGAGGGAAGGCGCGTGGCGGTACGATAGGGGATTTGGGACGAAGGTGGGCCGAACGACCAATTCATCGTATCAGCGATCTCATGTCAGGTGGGGTCCTACTACGTCAACCTCCCTTGCTCTTTATCGGGGTGCAGCCTTAATGAGGCAAGCCTTCCCGTCCAGATCAGTACAGAAGCCCATGCCAACCCCGGATAGCTTATTGAAGCAGCTTTTTACCCCCCAAGGTTCCAGCTTGGTCCATAAAAATTACATGAGCCTAACATTACATTCGACCAGAGTTTTCCCCTCCCACTCCGCACCCCTTGTCCTCCCCCTGATACAGTAGTTTAACATTCCCGCTGTGTCCCTAGTTCTCCATCATGCACTTCCCTGATCCAGTCATTCAGGAACTTAATTCCGAGATTCTCACCAGCTATAGGCATGGTCCGTCCTGTCTGGATCGGCTGTCGTTTCTCCTTAGTATGGGCGACCATGCTGTCCTTGCTCAGATGTTCCAGGGTCACGGGATGTGGCAGTTTCAATCCGAACATCCTTCCCTGGTGGGTACCGTTCGAAGATCCCGTCATTCAATCTATACTGTCGTGAATTCCACCTGGTTGTTGGATGAGAGATACTCCATCCTGGCTGCTTTTATTGTTCCCTGCTTCCGGCTCCCTTCCTTGGCTATGCTTGCTGCTATCCATGATGAATCAGCGAGTTACTGAGCGGATAGCCCCGATGTTAGTACATATGCACTTACCAGGAGAAGGGTACCGAGGAAAATTGCATGAATCAGAAGCATTCGGTAGTGGTCCTTTATTCCATTCGAAATAATATGCATGAGGGGTTTAGCGTATAAGTACTTTATTCTTACGACCTGCCCGCTACGTCAACAGTGGAGTCAGTTTATCATAGATAGGTTTGTGAGGCTCGCCCACATAACTCTACCTAGCCTGGCATTATTGCATCTGAGCCTGCTATGCACTCTACTTGCCCAAATTAGCGGTGCATCTGTGTCCTGTGCAATGGCGATTAGTTGGATGCCTTCGTTCGAGATGACGCTGACCGTGATGTGGTCACTTCTCTGGATGAGGACATTGCATAGGTTACGGATCGCTTGTTCGAGCGCAGATAGATTCTCCAAGGCTTGGGTCGCCGCCTGTTCTAACTGCTCCATCTGAAAAGGGGTACAATCCATCAGCAGAAGTATATATATATTTATAGAAAAAAGGGGGAAGAAAGAAAAAGCAAAAAAATGCGAGAAAGAAGAAAAAAAGAAAAAAGAAAGAAGAAAGAAGAAAGAAGAAAGAAGGAAAGAAATGGTAGGTGCGGGGGCGACTTGCTCTGGACCGTGTTGGTGGCTGCACTACCGCGCGGCAGAGAGCGTTGTCGGTGCGAATACCCTTGCAAGGGTACTTGCACTGGGTTTCTGTAGTTGACAGAGGAATGGGTCGATTCAGAATTTATGGGAAGACTGCGTGAGTTGCGTAGGCGCGCGGACTGAAGATTCAGCGGTAACATCTAGGATTAGAAAGTGTGTGGGCGCGCAGGTTCGAGACGAACATGATTTTTCTCTCTTTGATCGCAATGGAAGACGCGGCGTGGATTCCGGTCGGCGCGCTTCATTTTAACAAATTGTTTGTTTTGATTAAACTAACTAACCTATGGGCGCTCTTTTCTCTAGTTCCGCATGGTACGGTGGACGGTCCAATAAGCCTGTATGGACTTGCACGAAAATCCAGATGATGGGACCTGATGGATTTGGCTAGGGACGGGTAGCCGCGGCGATGCTGGTAGGCCGACGTGAGTTTTGGGTGGTCCTCTATGCAAGTGTGGACCGGGAAGTGGCATAGGCCCATAGGGCGTTTCCTTGGCCCCAAGGGTCGTGCGCTACCTCTTTATAAGGTGAGTCGGGCCTGGTGGTACCAGGCTTGGGCTTAGCCCTATAGGGTACAGCATTAGACTGGTACGCAGCAGACGCAGGGATCGAGGCCAACAGTATGCGGCAAGGGAGCGGAGGAGCGTGGCAAAAAGGCTTAAGGGGTTGATGGGTCTGTGGGACTATCCCCCTCGCCTTTTGCTACCGTGGGGCCGAGCGTAGGGCTGACGGACAGGCTGAGAGGGGTGTCGTGGTCCCTGCCCGGCTACCGCTCGTTGTTTTTATATGTATATATATATTATTTCTAAATTTTATTTAGTTATTATTATTTATCACGTCCGTATGTGGACGCGAAGACACCATGGGTACGCCCGCAAACCGTTGGAAATACAGGCCCGTGGTCGAACCCGGTGGGTAAAACCGTCGTGGCGAGTTGCTGTGAGCATGACCCGAGCATTTGTCCTTCGGAATACCCGTAATAACGAAGGCGCGATTTATCGGGTTCGTTTGCTTGCTTTACATTTCGTGCGGCCCTGCCCCCGCGTTGTTCGGACCCGGGGCGCTAAGCGCGCTGGCTTCGACACGGGGGTGAAGAAGGGAGAGTGACTGAAGGCTATCAGGCAGATGGGATGGTGGAAAAAGGTAAGTGGTTCGCTCGTAGGGGTATATGACCACCTTAATCACGAGGGCTGCGGGCCAAACTATTCGTGGTGCAGAAGTGAGGTTGTCGGGGAAAACCGAATCTGGGCTCGAAGATGGGCCCGGTGCCTTTGGAAAAGAGGTTTGCGCTCCCTCTCGGCAGCTCCGTGGGGCACTACCGTGGGTAAGTCCTTCGGGACATTTGTCAAAATTGGAACGAAACAGAGAGGATTAGCTTGGCCGCTAGGGGCCGACTGATGCCTGTAGGTCTGGGGATGAACCCGGACGGAAAGAGGGGGGCAAGCGCATGCGAAAAGGTTAGGAAGAGGGGGCGGAGCGATCTTCGGAGATGTCGAGAGGCGCCGCCGCTGTAAAAAGTCCTTCGGGACATCTGTTAAAATTGGATCGTTACAGAGAAGGTTAGCACAACCCCTGTGGGTTTTCTTTTGCTTTGGTTGTTTTGTGTTATTCCTTTTGGTCGACCCAACCTTCACACGGGCCAGGCCACGGGCGCTGGGAGTGAGGCGCACCGCGATACTGACGGGCAAATCGTTTGTCGGACTTTGGCATAGGAGCAAATGACTAGTCGAACCGGCTAGCGGTCGGTTTTCTCTCGAAGTTCCTCTCAAGGTGAATAGCGTTGACGGGTAGTCCGCTACCCGGCTCCATCCGAAGCTTTTCCCTAGTTAAGCGAGCGTTGTCGGTCGGGTTATTGCGCTAAGACGCTGTCTGATCGAAAAAAGGGAAGCCGAGCAACGAGTCAGAGGGCGACGGGCTGAAAACCGTGAGGACGAGTGAAGCAGGCAGGAGGCAGAGCGTTGCGACAGGGAGGCCGAATCTGGCCACGAAACCGCGCGGGGTGCATATGGGCGGGCATGGCGAAGTGGAAGGCGCAGCTATGGCAAAAGGGGGAAGGAAGTTGTAATCCGCCCGATCCTTGACAAGAATAGGCGGGGAAAGAGGCAATCTGCAGGTTTCTAGGACGGGCGACCTTGAATCTGTAGTCAAATTAGGCTAGAAGTTAGTAGATTAGAGGATTAGAAGAGGAGTCAATGCGCCGAAGTGAAGAGATGGCGGGAGTGAAGACAAGGGAGGATGAAGAAACACTTATCTCCCTTGTCTTCGATCGGATTTAGGCGAGGAGCGATTCGTTCCGGGGGGTTTTGGCCAGGGCAAATTTGTTGATAAGGTTAGTTTCGGCAGTGGTTTAGTAGATATGAGGGTAGAAGTGGAAGGTGCTGCCTGGAGGATGTCGAGAAAGAAGACGAAACGAGAGCGAAATTGAAGTAACTCGCTCATTTTCTGATCGTTTTCGACAAATAAAGATACTAGATTAAAGTTTTTTGACCAAGCGAGTTAGAATATGCTGTAAGTTTGAGTAAAAAGTAAATAGATTACGGGTTAGCAGGAGAAAAGTACTGCAGGCGAGCTATGGAGGAGAAACACGGGCCCGTCCTCGCCTGCCACGATGAAGTTGACGATAGGCTTGTATGACCTTGTCGTTGCTCCATCCGTCATCATCGTACACCCCGTCAACTTCCACTTTGCCTTCTTCGGAGCGCCCCTCTCTGCTATCTCGTGATAAATCTCGTCGAGGGGGTGCGTGCGCATGTCAGTGTATGAGGGGACGACCAAAGCAGGCCCAATCGTGACCCTCATCAATGATACCATGAGGTCATGCAGCTCTTGAGTAGTCTCAAGTTGTATGAATGTGAATGGCACCCCAGCCCTATACAAGGCTCTACCCCACAACCTCTCATACTGCTGCTGAAGACCTCCCTTTGCCCAACTATCCAACCTCGTCTGCAGCGTACGACGATCGTGTGGCACAACAACACCTGACGGTGCGCGTGTGCCCTCTGTCCTGAGCCATGACAAGTCGGCTTAAGTCGACCTCCGATCCGCCTCAAGGACGTGCACCCTCTCTCTGAGGATAGACAGTTCGTCGTCCACAGTCCCACCATCGACCCCTCCCTCATCCATCGTAACGTTCTGCGTCCCTTGGGCAGTTGACTGTCGTCCACGGCCACCAGCCCCGTCATGCATCGGCATACCTGTCATTGTGGCAGCTGCCTCCTCGGCCCTTTGCAGGTCCTCCATCTCCAACTCCTCCTCGTGGACCTCGAGATGCATGGCTGTTATTGCCCTTCGCACAGGGTCACGAATGGTAACCCCGTCCCTCATCAGCTTGTTCAGGATCTCTCCCATATGAAATCTGCAATGCGCAGACGGGCGGGTGAAGTGGTCAATAACCTTTGTCCGCGCACCAGGGAAAACGTTGTTGCACAACGTGCAACGTAGCTTGTATTGCCCCTTCCCCCGCACTCCCACCTCCTGCCCTTGACGAACCCATTCCCACGCAGCATGCTTGCTTTGTAACAAGCGCTGTCGAGCCTCATCGGCCTCCTGAAAGGGTGCATCGCCATCCGAGAGCTGGGTGAATCTCCCTCGCGATCCACGTTGGGACATTACTCTCTCTCTCTCTCTCTCTCTCTCTCTCTCTCTCTCTCTCTCTCTCTCTCTCTCTCTCTCTCTCTCTCTCTCTCTCTCTAACTTTGTTCGTATGGAGCGCTATCAACATTTTATGTGAAACGAGCAGCCATCACCTGCTGAGATTGAAAAAACGACATCCACATTGGGTTGGTTGTTTGCTAGGATGATTGAGCGATAAATTCATTGATTGGTTGAATGATTGGCAGGTTGGTTGGTTGGTTGCTTGCTTGCTTGATTGATTGGTGTACTTTTGTTTTTGTTCTTTGACTAGCCGATCAATGAAGAAAACGAGAAGCAGAACGAGGAGGAGGATGAGGAGGGGCAGGCGGTTGCAAAACAGACTCCCCCTCCTCATCATCCGTCCTCGTTCTCCTCCCCCTCCGCCTCCTCCTCCTTCCTCATCGTCATCCTTCCTCCTCCTCCTCCACCTCCTCGTCATCCTTCCTCCTCGTCATGTTCCTCCTCCACCTCCTCCTCCTCCTCCTCCTCCTCCTCGTCCTCCTCGCCGATCCTCTTTCCTCTTCCTCCTCCAATCGCCTCCTCCTCCTTCTCTCCTCCTCCTCCTCGACCCTTTCCTCCTCCTCGCAGTCCAACCTATCACGCGTTCGACCCCATACAGCCCGGATTAAATTTTTGTTTTTTTTCCGTCAATCGATCGATGAAAAAAAAAAAAAAAAAAAGTTTGAAAAGCACCATCGGATCAATCAATCAATCAANATCAATCAATCAATCAATCAATCAATCAATCAATCAATCAATCAATCAATCCATCGAATCAATCAATCAATCAATCAATCAATCAATCAATCAATCAATCAATCAATCAATCAATCCATCGAATCAATCAATCAATCAATCAATCAATCGAAGAAGAAAAAAAAAAAAAAAATTGTCAGCCAATCGAATCGATTGCAGATGGATCATCTACGCTTGGTGGAGAGATTTCATTAGGAAACAATATTTTAGTAGCTTATATGCCTTGGGAAGGATATGACTTTTGATTCGATTCGATCTTGATTTAAAAAATCAAGATCCAATCGAATGAATCGATTCGATTGGATAACAATTTTGTTTTTTTTTCGATTAATTGATTAATTGATTGATTGGTTGATTGATTTGCAAGGAATTTGAGTGTGAACGATATACAGAAAGTCCAGTTGCGGAATCACACAGATGTCCAAGTAGTCGTGTGCAAGCAGAGAGCACATACCATGAAGTAATGAGCCAATGTTCAAGCCCTCAGGCCACACCAACACAGTATCCAAAGTCGCTCCCCTCTGCTCGGCCTCCTCCTACTTCCTCCTTCTCTCCTGCTCCTCCTCCTCCTCAAAAATCCCCCTTCCTCCTCCTCGGCGGTCCTCCTCCTTCCTCCTTCTCTTCTCCTTCTCCTCCTCCTCGGCGATGCTCCATCTCTCCTCCTCTCCCGCCTCTGCCTCCACCTCGTCGATCCTCCTCCTTCCTCCTCCTTCCTCCTTCTTTCTCCTCCTCCTTCTCCTCGTCCTTGGCGATCCTCCTTCTCTTGTCCTCCTCCTCCTCGTTGATGCTCCTTCCTTCTCCTCCTCCTCCTCCTCCTCCTCCTCCTTCCTCCTCGCCGATCCTTCTTCCTCCTCCTCGGCGATCCTCCTCCTTCCTCCTCTCCTTCTCTCCTCCTCCTCCTCCTCCTCCTCCTCCTCGGCCCTTTTCTTCTCCTCGCAGTCCGACAGATCACGCGTTTGGCCTCATACCGCCCGGATAAAAAAATATATATATATCGTCAATCGATCGATGAAAAAAAAAAAAAAAAAAAAAGGTTAGAAAATCACCATCGAATCAACCAATCAATCAATCAATCAATCAATCAATCAATCAATCAATCAATCAATTAATAAATCAATCAATCAATCAATCAATCAATCCATCGAATCAACCAATCAATCAATCAATCAATCAATCGAAAAAAAAAAAAAAAAAAACTGTTATCCAATCGAGTTCATTGATTCGATAAGATCTTGATTTCGAAAATCAAGATCCAATCGAATCAATCGATTCGATTGGATAACAATTTTTTTTTTTTTCGCTTAATTGATTGATTGATTGATTGATTGATTGATTGATTGATTGATTGATTGATTGATTGATTGATTGATTGATTGATTGATTGTTTGGTTTGCAAGGAATTTGAGTGTCAACGATATACAGAAAGCCCAGTTGCGGAATCACACAGATGTTCAAGTAGTCGTGTGCAAGCAGAGAGCACATACCATAAAGTAATAAGCCAATGTTCAAGCCCTCAGGCCACATCAACAAAGTATCCAAAGTCGCTCCCCTCTGCTCGGCCTCCTCCTCCTTCCTCCTTCTCTCCTCCTCCTCCTCCTCCTCGGCGATCCCCCTTCCTCTTCCTCGGTGGTCCTCCTCCTTCCTCCTCCTCCTCGACGATGCTCCTTCTCTCCTCCTCTCCCTCCTCTTCCTCCACCTCGTCGATCCTTCTCCTTCCTCCTCCTTCCTCCTCCTTCCTCCTTTTTTCTCCTCCTCCTTCTCCTCCTCGTCGGCGATCCTCCTTCTCTTGTCCTCCTCCTACGCCTCGCCTCCTCCTCCTCCTCTTCCTCCTCCTCCGCCACCCCCTCCTCCTTCCTCCTCGCCGATTCTTCTTCCTCCTCCTTTGCGATCTTCCTCGTTCCTTCTCTCCTTCTCTCCTCCTCCTCCTCCTCGGCCTTTTCCTCCTCCTCGCAGTCCGACAGATCACGCGTTCGGCCCTGTACATCCCAAATAAAATAAAATAAAAATTCTCGTCAATCGATCGATGAAAAAAAAAAAAAAAAAAAAAAGTTTGAAAGCACCATCGGATCAATCAATCAATCAATCAATCAATCAATTTATCGAATCACTCAATCAATTAATCAATCAATCAATCAATCAATCGAAAAAAAAGAAGAAGAAAAATTGTTATCCAATCGAATCGATTGATTCGATTGGATCTTGATTTCGAACTGTTATTAAATCGAATCAATGCCAATCGAATCCATTGATTCGATTGGATCTTGATTTCGAAAATCAAGATCCAATCGAATCAATCGATTCGATTGGATCTTGATTTCGAAAATCAAGATCCAATCGAATCAATCGATTCGATTGGATAACAATTCTATTTTTTTTTTTCGATTAATTGATTGATTGATTGATTGATTGATTGCTTGATTGATTGATTGATTGATTGATTTGCCAGGAATTTTAGTGTGAACGATATACAGAAAGCCCAGTTGCGGAATCACAGAGATGTCCAAGTAGTCGTGTGCAAGCAGAGAGCACATACCATGAAGTAATGAGCCAATGTTCAAGCCCTCAGGCCACACCAACACAGTATCTAAACCCGCTCCACTCTGCTCGGCCTCCTCCTCCTTCCTCCTTCTCTCCTCCCCCTCCTCCTCCTTGGCGATCCCCCTTCCTCCTCCTCGGCGGTCCTCCTCCTTCCTCCTTCTCTCATCCTTCTCTCTTCCTTCTCTCCTCCTCCTCGGCGATGCTCCTTCTCTCCTCCTTTCCCTCCTTCGCCTCCACCTCATCGATCCTCCTCCTTCCTCCTTCTTCCTCCTTCTTTCTCCTTCTCCTTCTCCTTCTTCTCCTCCTCGGCGATCCTCCTTCTCTTGTCCTCCTCCTCCTCCTTGGCGATGCTCCTTCCTCCTCCTCCTCCTCCTCCTCGCCTCCTCCTCCTTCTCTTCCTCCTCCTCCTCCGCCTCCTCCTCCTTCCTCCTCACCGATCCTTCTTCCTCCTCCTCGACGATCCTCCTCCTTCCTCCTTTCCTTCTCTCCTCCTCCTCCTTCTCCTCCTCCTCCTCGACCCTTTCCTCCTCCTCGCAGTCCCACCGATCACGAGTTCGGCCCCATACCGCCCGGATTAATTTATTTTTTTTCCCCCGTCAATCAATCGATGAAAAAAAAAAAAAAAAACTTTGAAAAGCACCATCGGATCAATCAATCAGACAATCAATCAATCAATCAATCGAATCAATCAATCAATCAATCAATCAATCAATCAATCAATCAATCAATCAATCAATCAATCAATCAATCAATCGATCAATCGAAAAATAAAAATAAAAAAATTGTTATGATGTTATCCAATTGAATTGATTGATTCGATTGGATCTTGATTTCGAAAATCAAGATCCAATCGAATCAATCGATTCGATTGGATAACAATTGTTGTTATTTTTTTTTTTCCAATTAATTGATTGATTGATTGATTGATTGATTGATTGATTGATTGATTGATTGATTGATTGGTTGGTTGGTTGATTGATTGATTGATTGATAGCACATACAATGAAGTAATGAGTCAATGTTCACGCCCTCAGGCCACACCAACACAGTATCCAAAGTCGCTCCCCTCTGCTCGACCTCCTCCTCCCTCCTCCTCCTCGGTGATCCTCCATCCTCCTCGGCGATCCTCCTCCTTCCTCCTTCTCTCCTCCTCCTCCTCCTCCTCCTCCTCCTCCTCGACGATCCTCCTTCCTCCTCCTCCTCCTCCTCGCCTTCTCCTCCGTTTCCTCCTCCTCCGTCTCCTTCTCCTCCGCCGCCTCCTCCTCCTTCCTCCTCCTTCTCAGCGATCCTCCTTCCTCCTCCTCCTCCTTGGCGATCCTCCTTCCTCCTCGTCCTCCTCGCCTCCTCCTCTTCTTCCTCCTCCTACGCCTCCTCCTCCTCCTTTGCCTCCTCCTCCTCCTCCTCCTCCTCTTCGTCCTCGTCCTTCTCCTCCTCCTCGTCGCCTTCTAGACAACACTTGTGCAGAGTAGATACACGACATCTCCTGGTTATGTAGCAGTTGAGGAGGAGGAGGAGGAGGAGGAGGAGGATGAAAAAGAAGAAGATGAGGAGTTGGAGGAGGAGGAGGAGGAGGAGGAGGAGGAGGAGGAGGAGGAGGAAGAGGAAGGAGTAGAAGAGGAGGAGGAGGAAGAAGAGGAAGAAGAAGTAGAAGAAAAGGAGGAGGAGGAAGAGGAAGAGGAAGAGGCGGACGATAAGGAGGATGAAGAAGAAGATGAGGAGGTGGAGGAGAAGAGCGAGGAAGAGGAGGAGGAGGCCGAAAGCTCACCTCGTTGCAGCCGCAACAGGACGCTCCTGGCGAAGGCTCCAACGACGGCGGCGATGGCTCCAACAGCACAACAACTGGGTAGTGGGGAAACAGAGGCAGCACGCCGTCAGCGCCGACAGCCCCAGCACACCGATGGCAGGTGGGGACGAGCAGCAGGCACCACGTGACGGGGCAGCGCTGCAGCGGCCTACTGCTTCGGATGAGCGCCGCACTACTCCAGGGTACTGGGTCGAATTCGAATTCAAAAAGTAGCCCGATCTGGGCCGTCGATGTTAGTCGATCGACGGCCTAGATCGGGCCATCAATATTTTAAATCCGGTAGGGCCCTTACCGGATCCGCCTCCAAGGCGGGGTTCTGAAGCTCGATCAAAACCCCTGCCCACCCATAAACCCCATAAAATAGACCTGCGCCTATTTTGCGCAGGCCCCGGAATGGTAATTTCCGGGTTCTCCCAGGTCCCTTCTTCCAGCCGGATAATTCGGATGGCCCTGGGGCATCCGGATATCCGGAAAAAAAACTTAGGTTATATCTCAGATTACAATAATGACACCCTCATGTTCATGGGGTCTCTATTTTGTCTCCATTAGTCTCAATTTTGATCCCTCAATGCTCCAATTTTCTTTTGACAACCTTTTTTCTGAGTAGAGCCACTCGGGGCTCTATCTTCTTATGTCTAGCTAGTCCGAGATATCTCGGACTGCTGGGCAACCTTTTCCATCATCATAATTTTGCTTTATTGTCTCCCGTGGATCTCCCACTTGATCCCACTAGTGCTTGCACTAGTGATGCTAATATTTTTCACCATTTGTTCGCTTTGCGTGACAATTCCTCATATTGGGTCATGGTTTCCTTGGGACATCTCAAGTGCCCGCCACTCTCCCCGTACTAGTTTCATTTCTTTGTCACGCCGGTAATCCCGCGGGTGCATGTCTCATTTTTCGACTGTTTTTATTTGGACTCATGTAGTCCCCGGTATCGTCTCGGACGACGTCCCATTTTTATTTTGGGACTTCCTTATCCTTGTCAGTTTCAATATCCCCTCCTCAAGGGCCCCATGTGTGCCGATTATTCTTGGTCGCGAGATCCTTATCTCACGGTTGTCGTTTACCGTCTCTATTTGCCTCATGCCGGAGTCACAGTTTTCTAGCCTTTTGGGTTTGCCATGGCTATTTTTTCCCTTGGCCTAGGCATCCTTATGCAGTCCGTTATTTCTCGGACTGCAACTGTGGTCATTGTCCTAGTCCCACAACCCCACAACTTGCCCCAAATTGAAAGAAAATGAAACACTTATTTTTTAAGTGCATCCGGGCTCAATATTGACTCCGGATGCACTTAAAATATTTGTTTTCCCTTCCCCATGCAGTCCGTTGTAACTCGGACTGCAGTAGGGGTCAATTTCTTAGCCCTATTGCCCCACAGCTAACCTAAAACTTAAGGAAAAGGAAACAACCAACTTTCAAGTGCATCCGGGCTCAATATTGGTTCCGAATGAACCCAAAACATGTGTTTCTCTTCCCCTATGCAATCCGTTGTATCTCGGTTGTATGGGGCCTTGATTTTTCTTGATTTTCTATGCAAAATCAAACGAAAATTGAGGTCCTTTGCAACCGTCATATTCCAGAATGTATCTAGTCACGGATGTCTCTTCCCAAGTGACCGTTTTTTACCGTTAAGGTCTTTTTTTTTTTCCCCTCCTTTTTTGGACAGTAGGGACATGCCAGTCCCTACTTGTGGCAGTCTCTACCGTCGGCCAACTCACTCACTGCCTCTCACTCCTTCTGTCTTATTCTTCCATCTTTTTTTTTTCTTTCCCTTCCTTTTTCTAACATGCCAAGTGTCAAGTGATCGTTAAGGTTTTTTTAGGCCCTTCCTATTAGTTTTGGCCCTCCCTATGCCCATGGTGCAGTCCGTTATATCTCGGACTGCAATTGTGGTTCCCTCATGCCCATGGGAGTCTCCCTTTACCTCTATTTATTGCACACAGTGACCCCTTAAACTTCGATTTTCTCCCGGAGGCCTATTTTTCACATGGAGTCTCTTTTGACTTCAATTTCTTGAGGGAGGCTGATCCGAGATTTTTCGGATCGCTCCCATGCCTCCTCCTTCATGTTTCTTTTCTTTTTCTTTTCCTTTTGTTTTTTTTATTTGCTCCCACTAGTGTTTGCACTAGTGGTGCCAATATTCTTCGTCGTCAAAATCTCGATCTTGACGATGCATCTTGCTTTAATTATTTTTTCCTCATGCCGCTCAGCAGTTCCTCTTGAGATTTTCTCATGTCCGCGCCACTTGTCCCGTGCTAGTCCTTAGTACTTATCCCGCCTGGTAGTCCCCGACGCTTTGTCCCGTCAGTGGTCCCCGACACTTTGTCTCGTCCCCGATACTTTGTCCCGTCGGTGGTCCCCGACACTTTATCTCATTAGTGGTCCTTGACACTTTCTCCTGCCCGTGGTCCCCGATATTTTGTCCCGTCGATGGTCCCCGACACTTTGTCCTTTCTTTCTCTAGTGCTTTTTGGTCGTCAAGGCCCCCTTTCCGTATGGCCTTGACACCCCGTTGTGATCCTTACTTTCTAGTGTCCCGCGGCCACCAGGGTTGTCCACATTTCGACTTCACTATTCTCTTGTCATCTGTCGTGCCCCACTTGTTCAGTTCATGGCCCCTCGGGTCCTTGTCATGCCGAATTCGAATGACCCTCTTGGCCCCATGCTATGCCCCTATGTGCCCATGTCCTGTCACTCACTTGCTTGCCATTGTCGGGTCCTTCACTCGGCGGTCCCATCCTAGTCCTTTGTCTTTTCTCTCTCTCCTGTCTCTTTTCTCCAGATTTCTCTGTCGTGCATAACTTGGCTATATACTGGCTCTCAAGTGTCAGGACATTATTCGGGATCCAAAGGTCCCTACAACGAGAAGGAAGACGAAGGAGGAAACTAAGAACGAGAAGAAGATCAAGCGAGGAAGAAAGGAAGTGGAGAAGAAAGAAGAGAAGGGGAAGGAGAGAGAAACCATAGCCGAGGTGAAAAGAAGATAGTAGGAAGGGGAAAGAAGAAGGGGAGTGAAGGTTGGTGGAAGAGAAGGGGTTGGCAGCCATAGCCGAGTTGAGCATTGACCAAAACGTTGACCGGGGAGTTGACCGGTGTTGATCAAGGTGTTGACCAAAGTTTACCAAAGTTGACCTTTGCGTTGACCGAGGTGTTCATCGGGGTTGACCCGGGCGTTGACTGAGGAGTTGATTAGCGTTGATTAAGGCGCTAACCGGAAAGTTGACCAGCATTGACTAGCATTGATAGCATTGACCGGAGTTGTTGACCCCGAATTTGACGAAGCTAAAGCTGGTATACTCTCGTGAAGCCTTCAGTCTGTCCCCTCACCCTATGGATGTGCACTCACCCCATGGTACTTGCTGAGTTTGTTTGTCTTTTCTTTTCTCATTGAGTCTCTTATGTCCAGGTGATAGAAACTCCGTGTATAAGGTCGTAGACCTGTCTTCACGAAACCCACACGGGCTGATTAGGGAAGTTGTCCATGTTTTACGACTGACATGTCCCAGGGGACTAACCCGCCCAAGGACTAGTATAGACCGGTGGGCTGCTCAATGTGCCATGGTCGACCCAAAATCCGAGTTGTGGGCTGCAGAACTAATTGTCTACGTCTTGAGAGGACTTGCTGATCGCGTCGTCCTGTTTACGACGTTAAACAATTCCTGAGGAGTTATGGGGGAGCTCCTTAAATGTCTCCGGACCAGCAGTAAGGTCCTGTAGTGACATCTTTAGTAGTAGGTCTAGGTTAGAGATCATAGTTGACAGGGTCCTAAAGGGATTTTATAGACCTTGGAGAGTCAACTGTCACTCAGTGGGTAGGTCTAAGTGGTGAAGAGTGGGACAGTCCCTTGTCGTACACCTATCACCATGGATGACTATCCGATGTACAGCTTGCTGGTGGGGTTCTCCCTCTAGGAAACCCTCTGGCGTCTCCTTTTTCCGTTAGGCTTCTGAAACACATTCACGTGTAGAGTGGAGACGAGGGGTGGTACTGGGACCACTCCGTACAGGAAGGAGCAGGAGGAGGAGACTGCCAAGATTCTGGATGAGCAGAAGACCAAAATGGAGAAGAGGGAGTTAGTGAAACAAGCCAAGAAGTTAGCCTTGAAGGTGGTCCCAGGAGCAGGCCGCAAAGAAGAAGTAGTTGGAGGAAGAGATGGAAAGGTTGAAAAAGGAAGAGAAAGAAAAGGTAAATACGGTGGAAGAAGAAGAAGAGGTGGAGGAAGAGGTACCCTGGTAAGAAACGTTAAAAGAGAGAAGGGGGTATCGAGTGGTATGAAGACGGAGGATCAGTGGATGGAGAAGAAGGTGTTGAAATGGGTTGCCAATCTATTTCTGGGTGAAGAAGACAATGTTATATGTCCCCGGAGCAAAACAGGAGGCGGTGATAAGAGAGTTAGTTGTAGAAGAAGACCCCCTACGTTGCCAAACACTGGAAGAAGAAAAGAAGTTGAAGTGGAAATTACGCCTCACAGGAGAGAAAAGGCGACAAATGGAGGAGGCTGATAAAATGGTGGAGGAGTTGAAGGTGGTCGAGGAGAAAAGAAAACAAATGGAAGGTCAGACACACTTGCAGGGAAAGATGGAGGTTATGGTTTGGAATATAGAATTTCTGGAAAAAGTCGGGCAAGAGAAGTATCAGTTCATTAGGGGCCAAGATATAGCCTTGCAGTCTATACGGTTGGACTTTAGAGAGTTCGTGCACAAAATGATGATGCATGTAGGCACATAAATGAAGGTGAGAGTATAAAACACAGAGCACTTCTACACGGGTGCAACAGAGGGTGCCAAGCTGGCAAGTCCAAAGTAGGAGGAAGTATGCCCCCCTAGAGATTCAGTTAAAGGGAATTTCTCTAATTCCTATAGTGGGAAGAAGGGGCAAGACTTTGACAATTGGGAGGCGAACATTATTTCCTATGTTCACCTCAAGAAGATTTTGCCTGAGGAGCAAGTTTTAATTACTTTCCATGCCCTCAAGGATGAAGCAGCAAGCATCCCGCGATCACTCGGTCGTGCAGTCAACTGCGAAAATAATATGGTAGCTTACTCCATGAACACCTCCCTAAACGAATTTTTCAAATTGATGTGTGAAAGATTTGTCGATGCCACTAGAAAGATTAGAGTTTTTGATAAATTGCAAACCCTCCACTCTGGTCAGTGGGAGAGCGTAGGGGCA